ATCCTCCTGTACTTCTGTCACTGCTTCTGGCACCCAACTCTAGTAGTCCTTTGCCCTCTCGGGCTGACACTTAGAATCCATTGGTGGTTCCATCTTTTCTTGGGCCTGGCCTCCCTTGGATCCTTACTTGTCTCCTTTCCAGCTTCAATGCTATGGCCTGTCATTGTCACTCCTTGCCATGCCACGTCAGCAGCCTCACCGCTTTCTTGCTTTGGTTTACTCAGTTGGCAAAGCCCCAACCCTGGTGAAATTCAGCCCATGCCTGCTCTATTGTGAAGCCAAATGTGACTCCCTGATTGGTCCCCCTTTTTTTGTTTTTTGAGTTGCAGTCTCATTCCGTCTCCCAGGCTGGAGTGCAGTGGCACGCTCACGGCCACCCCAGCATCACTTGCTGGGCTCCAGCGATCCTTCCACTTCAGCCTTCTAAGTAGTCGGAGCTACAGGCACTCAGTACCACACCTGGCTAGTTTTTGATTTATTGTAGACATGAGGTCTCACCAAGTTGCCTGGGCTGGTCTTGAACCCATGGGCTCAGACAATCCACTCACCTCAGCCTCCCAAAGGCGCGGGATGACAGGCTGAGCCACCAAGCCTGGCTGATTGGTCCCCTTTTAAGTTCATGTCCACCCCAGGTAAACCTCATGCTGCCCAGCTGTCCCTGCCCCTTCTGCCCTTATCATAAGTGGTCATACCTCCTCACAACTGATAACTCAGTTCTTAGTTCCCAGAGAACACAGATGTGGCCTGACGAGCATGTCAGCATCTGCTCCTCACTCTGCCTTCCTCCTGCTGTCAGGGAGCCCCTGCCCAGGCCCTTGCTCTTGTGCCAAGGCATCTCCCCAGTCCTCCACCACACTCCCACAGCAGAGATTCCTCCCCACAGCTGGGTCCTTCCTATCACCCCAGGCGCCTGCTGCTACTTCTCCCACCTTGACAAAAGCCACTCCCAACCCCACCGCCCTTCTAGCTCTCCAATTCCCTTTACTAGCAAGTCTCCAGTCCCTCTCTCCATGCTCTCTTAAACCCTCTTCAGTTGGTCCTTGCTGCCACAGCTCTGCTAAGCTGCTTTGTGAAAAGTCTCCAGTGATGACCTTTGTGTTTTGTCTGGGGGCTGACTGTCACTTCTCCTCTGCCTGGACCTATCAGCGTCAGTTGACCCCAAGACCCACATGAGTCAGTCCCTTCCCTCCCATGAGTCTCAGTGGGGCCCACCCTGGCTGTCCTGCAAGCCACAACTTTTGTCCCTTTCTAACTGAATATGTCACTGACTATGCTTATCTTGATTGTCACCCCCACTGAAATAGAAGCTGTACAGGGCAGGTTTGTTCACTTGATTCACAGATGTAGTCCAGGCTCCTAGAACAGTTCCTGGCATCCATGGCTCCTCCGGAAGTCCTGGGTTAGTGTGTGGATGTCTACTCCTGGTCTTCCTCTGCTCCCCACATGGTGGTAGAGGGCCACAGCTCACACTGCTCTTCCCCACTCTCACTCCTGAAGTGACTTGGACCAGCCTCATGACTTCCCATCCCATTTGTAAGCCAATGGTCCCCACATTTATGTCTCCAGGCTGGCTAGCTCACTGAAACGCCTGATCCTCCCTACACCTTCTCTTTCTCTGGTCTTCTCCTTTCTAGTAAACAGCAACTCTATCTCCCTGCTTCTCAGGCCGGAGACCTGGTGCTAGCTATCCATTCCTGAACTCATTCACAAATACCACACACTCTACCTGCCAAAAATCAGTGTGGAATCTGACTGGTTTTCTCCACCTCCACTGCCTGTCCTGGTCCAAGCATCCTGCCTCCTTGCCTCCGCCCTTGCCCCCTGGTTCTCTGCTCAGTCCTGCAACATGCAGGCTAGACCATGGTGCTCTTCGGAACCCTCTGGTGGGTTCCCTGTCACTCAGAGTCATAGCCCAAGTCCTTACAGCAGCCGGCAAGGCCCTACATGATCACCTCTCTTGCTCTTGTCACTCATCCACTGTAGCCTCACTGGCCTCCTTGTCCCTCCCTGGACCCTCTAAGTACACCCCTGCGTATGGCTTTGACCCCGACTCTGCCCTCTGTCCCAGGTGTCACATGCCTCCCTTTGTGGTCTGCTGCTTGTCTTTCCAGTGTCGCCTTCCCAATATGACCCTCCTTGACCACACCCCTGTAAGTCAGTGCCTACCCCCACACCACCAGTTTCCCCCTGCCTAGTCTAGCGCTTGTCGCCATCTGCCATGAACTGTTTTACTGGTTGATTTTGTTCATGCTCTTGCCCTCTTCCCTCTTCGCCCCATGAGAGCAGAGGGGTTTCTTTGCCTCTTCTTGCCATATCCCCAGTGCCTAGAATCACGCGTCTTTATTGAATGAATGAATCAGTTCTGTGGTGGGACCCTACCCTAAGGTTTTGTCTTAGAAGAAGGACAATATAGAATGCAGTCTGCTCTGTTGTGGGCTCATCAGCTTCTGTGTGGCTAACAGGACGACATTGTTGTTGGGCTCATCAGACTTGTAGTCATGGGTCAGAAGGTATGCATAAAGGGCAAATGTAGAGTTTGACGTCACTTTTGAGGGGTTGCAGTTACCTGAAAGCATGGAGCAAATCAATGAGTCTAAATAGCTCCACACATTTCCCCCTCTTTTTAAACATACTTCCTTTATGAGTATATAATTTAACAGCACAGTTTCCCAATGCAGCTTTGCAAAACAGAAAAAATGAATGTTAAAGGCTGTCAGGTGCCTTTGCAATCTGTGGCTTCGTATTTGTGTAACAACATTTGTGTTTTGCCAACAGATGTGCTGCTTAAAGTACCCATGAGAACGGCCTCTGTGGTTTTCCACCTGACTGGATGGAACCTTAGGAACTGATTCTTGAGAAGAGGCTGCCACTACCCACTTCAGCTCCCAGACCTGAAGGACTTGGCCACCACCCCTGTGGGCCCTCAATAACCCCTGCAGACATCTTTTATAGCTCCTGTAGCCAGAAAGGACAATAGCTTTCTGGCACATTGCTTTTCCCCTCGTGCTAGGAGTGTCTTGAGCGCAGAACCACGTGTGACTCCTCTGGCCTTCCCCTGTGTAGGATAGCCCTCAGCATGTCAGAAGCACCCAGGAACTGGCCCCTCCTGGGTCTCCGAGGGAGTGGGAAGGAGCAGTTTCTGGGCTTACTCACCCAGAATCTGGTCATTGACATTTAAGTATGCTTGTCACCTGTGCCCAGTGCCCAGGTTCACACAGTAGGCTTAGGCTGCTTGTTTCACTTCTAAGTGGCTGTCCTTTGGGAGAGCATTTTCTGTGCCCTGGCTGATTAAACTTTCTGGGTTTCGGCATTCAAACAATGTTTTGTTTTTGTTCTGATCAGGTTATAAAGGGAAGGAAAGGAATCTGGTTTTGTAGAAGGTGGTGTGTTGTATAATTGTTTTATTTTTTAAGTTTTTTATATTTTTGAAATGAGGCAGGTTTTCTTTGAATAAATAATGCTGGGAGCTTATCACATAGAAGGCATATGTGTTGTACTCAGTACATTCTGAATTATCTGGGTTTATTTTTGTCTCTTGAATTCACTTATAAACAATCCAAAGGCTGCTTTTTTAGTTAACAGAAATAGGAAGAAAGAATCTCAGAATCTATTTTGTCATTTTTCAGTGCCCTGAGTTATAGTGATTATGATAACTTGGTGAAAAAGCAATGTAGAAAGTAAACCTCACATATGGTGTATCATGAACATTTTGTTGCTTTTTTGACTTCGGACCATCTTGATACCTTTTTTGTGTTAAAAGAATCCCCCATTGTGTATATCTTGGATAAGAGGTAGGTGGGCCCTAGCTTTCTACTTAAGGAAGCCTAACAACAGATTGGGGGCTTGTGGTGTATTTTTCTCTCACGTGTCATGAGGTCCGGAGGTAGGCTGTCCATGGTCACTGCAGGAGCTCTGTAAGGGTCCAGGATCCAGGGCCCCTCAGTGGGTGACTTTCATTCTCAGGGTTGTCTCATGGTCGCAGGATGGCAGTTCCAGCTCTGGCCATTGCATCCACCTGTCCAGATAGAAAGAAGGAAGGCATGGGGAGGGACAAAAGGGCACTTGACATCTCCGCCTGCAGGCCCAGTCAGTAATTTCCATTTCCATCTCCACATCCATCATCTTTTACTAAGGAACAAACAGCCCCAGCAGCTCAGTGGCTGCAACAGCAATCGTTTATTTCTCTCTCATGGGTCTGGGTCAGCTGCAAGGTGGGATTCAGATCTGTTCTCAAGCCTGTCGTTCCAGGACCCAGGAGGGAGAAGCAGCTGCCAGGGGAAGTCTCTTCGTAGGCGGAGGTCAGGAGCCCAAGAGGAGTGAGCAGAGACACAGAAGCTTCTTAAAGCCTCTTCCTCCCCCATCCCATCAACACGTGAGCAAGCCCAGAGCCAGTGGGTGGGAGGTGTGCTCCACCTACAGTCAGTAGGGCAAGAGCAGGCGTGAAGGAGAATGATGAGCAGGAGTGCATTCTGCCACTGTCCCCTTAGCCAGCACGTAGTCCCACAGTCTGCTGGGGAGCAGGAGCTGTCTTTCCTTAGCGGAATGCAGGGTCCCCTTAGTAAGGCAGAAAGAATATGGGTGGGGGGGGACAGCTGGCAGCGCCTGCCACAGGGAGATGCAAGCATTCCCTCCCTTGATCCCTGGAAACTAGGGGATGGCGATGAGGTCTAGACTTGGCCCAACCCATTCTGCTCTCAGGGACTTGGGCTCTTGAGGGACAGTGAGGAATTAGTCATGGTGGTGGCATCTGTGCCAGGAAGCCAGCAGTAGTGACTGATGTCCAGTGATGATGTGCAGTGGTGCCCAGGGTAGGTATCCCAGCCAGACAGTCCCCTTAAGTATAACCTCGGCTGTGTTTTCAGTTGTGCCGCCTCTCTGTTCCTGCTGCTTTTCTGAGCCTAGTTCTCTAGTCTTCTCTCCATTTCCAGATCTGCTGCCCAAGAACTCCTTTGTGACTGAAGTTAGCCAGAATTGGTTTCTGTTGCTTGCAACCCAGGATCTTGATGCAGTGTGCAGGGTCTGGGCAAGGTAAAAACATACTTTCACGATTTTACCTAGAGTGTAGTGAATGAGCTTAGGCTTTTTGAGCCATGCAGCCTTGGGATTCAGTGTCAGCTCATTCACCTGGCTGAAAGTACTGAGATGTTACACTCAGCGGTCAAGTCCCTTTCCCTCCTGGAGTCTCAGTGTTGCCTTCAGTTAAATACTGCTCGTGTGTGTTGCTGAGTATTTGGTGAGATTGTATGTAAAGTGATGATTGCAAAAGTATTGGGAAATCACTTGGGAAAATGTCCTGGTCTAAGCTTTCTGATTGGCTCGCTGTTGTTTGGGTAATGGGGTAGTAATTTAGGAGCACTGACAGCAGCTCAAGGGGCCCTTGATGTGCAGAAGGGCAGAAACAAGTCTGACATGTTTGGCTTGGGAGAAACAGTTTGGCTACAGATCACTATCCAGTGACTCGTTCTGGGCTTAATGCCTCTGACTGGGCAGCGGGTACTGTCATCTCGGGCTGCTCAGTAGTCACATATTGTGAGTACACATGGGCAGATTTTTCAGTTTCCTTCTCAGTCTAGACTTGAATGCAGCAGTTCTTATTGCTCACTTACCACTAGTCACCACTAAAGAACAAAGAATATGAATAGGAAATTCATAAAAGAAGAGATACCGATGGCCATTGAAGATAGGAAAAGAGTTCTGCCTACGTGGTAATCAAAGAGATGCAGATGAAAACAAAAACGATGCCTTTTGCACCTACCAAATTTGTCAAGATTAAAAAGAAAGCAAAGACCCTGCGTCAGCTGATGTTCATACCTGCTCCTGCTCCACAGCTTGCTAACGCTCTGCCTGCTCCGCACTCCAGGCCCGCCTCCACGGCACAGCCAGGTGAGGCCTTTCCTTGTCTACAGGCACGTTTGGATTCACTGTTAACAAGTGACATATGTGCATGCTTCACCATGCAGGAAGTGCAAGCTCGAGTGATGCTTGGTCTGAGTGTCCCTGTTGCCCTATTCTAACAGCCACCCAGGCCCCTCTGCAGGGGACAGCGGTGTCCAGGATCTTGTCTGTGTCCTTCGAGGTGTTCTGTGTGTGAACAGACACACCTAACCCTATTTTCATTTTCCCTGCATCAGGCTGTGCTACTGGGGTAAGTGATATTTTTTCTAGGAATTTGTCCATTTTGTCTGAGTACTAATTAACTAGCGTGAAGTTGGTTATATTCTCTTTTTTAAGCCTTGGCAGCAGCCTGGACTCTGTCTCCTTATTCATCCCTAGTGTTGTTTACTTGTGCCTTCTCCCTTTTTTCTTTGTCTTGGTAGAAGCTCATCAGTTTTATTAGTCTTCCAAGGAGCAGACTTGTAGACATGATTGTTCTGTCTTACTCTATGTCTGTTTCCTAATTCATTAAGTCCTGCTTTTATTCTTAGTATTTTGTTCTATGTTCTTAGAGGACATTCTCTATTTTTCTGACTTCTTAAACTGTAAATTTAGTGCACTGATTTTTTTTCCCCACCTTCTTTTCAAATATAAACATTGAGGGCTAACCCTCTGGAACAACCTCATCTGTATTCAGCAAGTTCTGATTACTAATGTTGCTTGACGTTAGCTCTGAATTTTTACATTTCCTTTATGATTCTTTCTTTGTACCACAAATTATTAGAAATGTGTTTTTAAATTTCTAAGCATGTAACTTTTGGGTTTTTTTTTTCCCTAGTTGCCTTTTTTTTTAAAATCAGCTTTAAGCTAACCGACATTGTGGCCAGAGAACTTGGTCTCTGTAACCCCAGTCCTTGCAGTCAGTTGAGAAGTGCTTCCTCACTTTGTCCATCAGCAGACAGAACATGCCACCACCAGGCGTGGGTGCAGAGTTCTGCATATACTCACTACCTCAGTCTTGTTCATTGTGTTGTGAAAGTATTTTCTCTTCTTACTGTCATTTTGTCTACTTGATTTATCAACTGCTGGGAAATGTATGTTAAAATCTCCTACTATGATGATAGACATCAGTTTCTTCACAGAGCTTTGTTAATTTTTATTTTATTATTTATTTTGAGGCCACACTTTCAGTTTTAGAAACAGTTTTCTCTTCCTGGTGAGTTGAACCCTTTAGTATTACCAAGTGACCCTCTTTATATTTAAAAATGCTTTGCCTTAAATTTTACTTTGTCTGATAGAAATAGCACTGTACCGCCTGTGTTTTTTTATCAGCCCTGCTTGGCATATCTTTTCCCAGCTTTTCGTTTTTCTCCTTTCTGTGTCTTGAAAATGGCAAACAGCTAGATTTCTAGATTTTTTTAAGAATCCATTTTGTCTGTTTTGTCCTTTAACATCTATTTGATTACTGTAGCATTTAGATTCATTTATGCCATCTTATTTTGTACATTCTATTTTTTCCACATTTTCTAGGTTAACAGATTTTTTTTTCTCCATTCTTGCCTTCTTGAATTATTTTTTAATTTTAGTAAAATACACATCACCTAAAACTTGCCATCTTAATTAACTATTTTTAAGTGTACAGTTCGGTAGCATTCAGTACAAATTTGATTGAGTTTTAATTTGTATCACATAGTGTACATGGTGCTGTGTCATCCCTTTTCATTTAACATTAAAACATAGGCCAGGTGTAAGGGTTCACACATGTAATCCCAGCACTTTGGGAGGCCGAGGTGGGAGGATCACTTGAAGCCAGGAATTTGAGACCAGCCTTGGCAACATAGCAAGACCTCATCTCTACAAAAAATTTAAAAACACGCCGGGCGCAGTGGCTCAAGCCTGTAATCCCAGCACTTTGGGAGACTGAGGCAAGAGGGTTGCCTGAGCTCAGGGGTTCAAGACCAGCCCTGGCAACTTGGTGAGACCTCTATACTACAATAAATAAAAAAATTAGCCAGGCACTTCAGCCTGGGCCACAGAGTGAGACTCCGACTCAAAAAAAAATTTAGAAACAATAATAAACATCACTATTGTTATGGGCTAAATGTTTGAGCCCCCCAAAATTCATATGTTGACGCTCTACCCTCCAATGTGATTTGGGGATGGGGTCTCAGGGAGGTAATTAGGATTAGATGAAATCAGGAAGGTGGGTCTCTCAGAATGGCATTATGGCATTAGTATCCTTATAAGAAGCAACACCAGAGAGCTTGCTTTCTCCACCATGTGAGGACACAGTGAGAAGGTGGCCATCTACAAGTCAGGAAGAGGGCCCTCACCAGGAACTTAATTTGCTGGCACCTTGATTTGGAACTTCTAGCTTCCAGAACTGAGAAATAATTGTCTGTCTGTTGATTGGGTCACTTGATCTGTGCTATTTTGTTATCATAGCCTGAGTAGACAAATACACCCATGTTACAAAAAGCTATAAACATCCCTTTAAAGGCTGTTTAATACCCCATCATATTCTCTAATGTATCTTCTGTCTTGGCCTTCTATCAGCTCTACCCCTTGCCTCTGAAGATGACCACATCTCTATGCTAGGTTTTCCAAACGAGTAGCTTGTATTCATGCTCTCCTCCCTTTTGGTCCACTGGTCAGCTCCTAGGATTAAATTTCCATGGGGTCCCTCCACCGACCCCACCTTCACATGCAGTGGTTCCCCACGAGCTGCTGTCTCTGCTTGGTCACAGGATCTAGCAGCCTCCAAGAACTCACTCACTGAATCCACCTACTTCACAAGGTAGGCTTGTCCTCACCCATACTCTTTGTATGAAAACTTACCAGATTCAAGCATTTATCTCAGTGGCCTCTCGTGGCATGTGAAAATGTCCATTTCCTCCTTAAAGCTCTTTACTAGCAAAAACTGTTCACTGGAAATTAAACCAGGTCGTGCTCTTTGACAACTCTGTCCTTTTTGTCTCCTCTCCTGCACTGGGCCCTGTGTCCTCTCCAAGCAGTCCCATGTGACAGTGAAGGACCCTATTGCTGCATGTTCCCCTCTTCTTGTCACTTCTGGTGTGACACTTGTTACATTTCTTGTTCAGTGAGTGAGTTTTGTAGACAAGTCAGAGCAATGGGAGGCAGGCAGTTAGCATCAAGAGTGGTAGCTCCCTGGAGAGCCAAGACTTTTCGCAAGGAGATTTTTTTTTTTCCCTCCTGAATTCATAAAGTAAGTACCTCAACTTAGAGGTGGTGTGTTAAACACCAGAACCTAAAACTGAGTTCAGGGCCAGGTGCTGTTGTCTCATGCTTGTAATTCTAACGCTTTGGCAGACGGAGGTGAGAGAATTGCCTGAGCCTAGGGATTCAAGACTAGCCTGGGCAACTCTGCAAGACCTCACCTTTAAAATAAATCAAAAAATTAGATGGGCGTGGTGGCGCATGCTGTAGTCCCAGCTACTTGGAAAGCTGAGGCAGAAGGATCACCTGAGCCCAGGAGGTTGAACCTGAGATAGCCATGAGTGTGCCCCTGCACTCCAGCCTGGGCGACAGAGTGAGACCCTGACTGAAAACAAAAAACTGAGTCCAGCTAGGCTCAAGTCCCCCAGAACTTTTGTCCCACCTACCAGTTTCATGGATGTCTACAGATTGGTTCCTCAGTAGTCCTCAATTTTGTACCTGATTTTTGAGAGTGTAGAGAAGTCAAAATCAATATGTATCTGCCAAAAATAATCTTAAATCAAGCTAGGTAATATTAAGGAATGAATGTCTCTTTTAGCTCCAAGAACCTCTGATCTTCCAGACGGGGACCCCAGTGATCTTCCAGAAGCAGCCAGGCTTCTTTTGGTCCCCTTCCACCCAGGGGCTGTCCTTTGTTTCCTGCCTGGGTAGGTTTGGTTCTTTGGCCATAGGGTGGACCGGGCTGCTCTCTTGAGCCTCTTCTGCCAGTCAGTCCATTAGGTGGCGACAGAGAGCACTAAAGGGAAGTACAAAGGAAATAAAACTTGTTTTGCTAAGCGTTAGAAAAAGGCTTGGGGGGTGTACGTGCATTTTAGTCCAACTTTAGCATGCAAAGAATGTGAAAGGTTTCTTTCCTCTTTTCTGCCTTCTATTCTTTTCAACCCACTGCCCACCCTACCACCCCCAGACCTCCTCCAAGATAAGGTAGGTAGATCAGAAGACTAAAGAGTCAGACGCCAAGTCCTCTGTTCTCTGTTGCAATTCATAGCCACACCAGTCACTCAAGCCAGAAAACCAAGAGGCCCCTGCTCTGCCTTTCACTACCCACATCCAGGGAGCCACCAAACCCTGCCCACTGTTCCTTTAACTGGTTCTCCCACCCCGCCCTCCTTTCACCCCTTCCACTTCTGTCATGGTTCAAGCCCTCCTTGCTCTTTCTAGGACTCCTGCGATAACTCATGCACTTTCCTGCACCCTCCCCCCTCCCACTCCGTCCCTGGCATCAGATCTCACTGCCTTGCTTTAAACCCAAAAGTGGTACCCCTGCGTTCGAATGCCATCAAGGCCTTTCACATGGCCCGCCTGTCTTCTGACCTCTTTTGTTGCTGCTGCTTTTCTCTTACATGTACCCACAGCAACATGGGGCTGCTTCTGGTTCCTCTCAAAGGCCATGCTCTCTGGTGCTCCTGGCCTTTGTTTGTGTTTCCCCCGCCAAGTCCCCTTTTCTCTCCTTTTCCTCCCCATCGCATTTTCTTGTCCTGCTTCTTCTTGTTTTTTTCTTTTTGAGTTGGAGTCTCACTCTGTCGCCCAGACTGGAGTGCAGTGGCCGCTCCCGGCCACCGCAGCCTCGACCTGCTGGGCTCCGGCGATCCTTCCACCTCAGCCTTCCGTGTAGCCGGAACTACAGGCGCACGCTACCACGCCCGGCTAATTTTTGATTTATTGTAGAGATGAGGTCTCGCCAAGTTGCCCAGGCGGGTCTCGAACCCACGGGCTCAGGCAGTCCACTCACCTCAGCCTCCCAAAGGCGCGGGATTACAGGCTGAGCCACC